TCTCTCTCTCTCTCTCTCTCTCTCTCTCTCTCTCTCTCTCTCTCTCTCTCTCTCTCTCTCTCTCTCTCTCTCTCTCTCTCTCTCTGAATCTATATCCTTGTCACCCTAGGTATCTAATGCAGCTTCTATTGGTGTGTAATCGTGACGAGGAGGGTGAGGGGTTGTTGCACAGAGGCATCGGTCACATGGGTTAGTATTGGAAAGCGAGAAATTGGAGGAGTGAAAGTGAACTGGAGGTTGAGGCTGCTGGAGTGTGAAGTCCCGACGGCACCGACACATGCCACTGAATGGACAAGTAGCGGGTGGAAATGATGTGGTGTTGCCACTCCTCTCGCTTTCATTAGTTAAGGATATGAGATGCAGATTCTTTTTTGGTACGAGAAGAAAGACTCTATTTTTTGTATTAAGAAGATGAGTTCCTTTCTAATTGGAGGAACAGAAGCGTATTTTTGATAATTCTAGTCAGACTCTTCGAATTTTAGCTGTCCTTTTTGGCATGTATGTGTAAGTTGGGCAGCCCCCTCCCTTCTTTTTCCCTGGGGGAATTCCTCAGGTGTTTTTTGCCTCCATTAATTAAATTCAAGTGTAATAAAAATGTTAGGTTATCCTGTCGGCTCGTGCGTGCACACTTCTGGGAGAGGACATGCATGGCCTCGAGGCGGCCCTGGATTGGTCTGCAGAACACATACAGTGATGGACAATAGCATAACTCCCCCCCCCCCTGACTTTTCCTCTTCACACTGTCAAGTTCCTTAGGACTTGCTGAGCCTTTGTTTTTTTTTGTTCTTTTTGCGAAGCTCTTATAGAGGTCTTGGGGGTGAAACACACCCTTGACCTATTTTCAAACTTCAAATAGGTGATCTTTTTTTTTCTATAGAGATTTCGGTATTTTCCAAGCGAAAAAGAAGGATTTGTTGAGCTCCTTCGTATAACATTACAATTATGGACATTATAATGTCTGTGTTCGGACACTCTGAATGGTCGAACGAAATGGTCAGCCTGTGTTTCCATAAGGCGAGAGTGTGTGTGGTTGTGATGCAAAATGCAGGGGAAGAGAGACAGGGCGTGCCTTGAAGCATATGCACAAACGAAGTGCGTGATTATGGCAGAACAGAGAGAGAGAGAGAGAGAGAGAGAGAGAGAGAGAGAGAGAGAGAGAGAGAG